TATAAACAACTCACGAAACTGTAATAACACAATTGCAAACAACTTACGAAACTGTAATAACACAGTTATAAACAACTCACGAAACTGCAATAGCACAATTATAAAAAGCTCACGAAACAGAGAGGATTTTAATATATGACTATCCAGTTCTGAAATTAATAGGCAGCAGTCTAACCACTAGATTATGCCACTAGATTAAGTCTAAAATACTAGATTTCATAGTTAATGATGTCGAGTACAAAACAGTGCAACAACGAAACTTGTAATATTTTAAAATACACATGTACAGCTTGACCTTGAATCTGCTGTCCAGCGTTACTCTCAAAATTTCGTAAAAGGCAAAGACAGACAGTTAGGGGGAGGGGATAATAGGCTAGTATCATCAATAAGAAACATATCACAAAAAATATACAAAGCACACAATATACTCTTCCTTAAGAAATGAGAACCATGAAAGTTCATTCTAGCCTTTAAAATAGTGATCCGATTCATTACACTTAATTAGTAACAAGGTCACAGAGATAGTTACAGTAGTAGTAGTTCCATCAGAATAATTAAAACTCTCAACTATCTGAACAGAATCTGAGGTAGCAAGACAGTAGCATTAAAATAAATTAGATAAAAATGAATGACAGGGGTAACTCCACCTAAAATAGACCAGTAGACCTAATACAGTTTTTGTCCATTTTAAGCGGATTCCTCGGACAGCTGATCATTCACACTCACACACTTCTCTAACCATGACATTAACCTCAGTAACGCTATATGCAAATGTATTCCACTTTACTGTTTCGTTGCCTCTCAAAAAAAGAATTGCCCTTTATTCTTCAGTATTTTTTCCTCAAGGGAAGCACAGAGGTTACATCTGCCAACTACCATTTATATACCTGCCTTACCAAATCTCACTAACCTATAAAATGCACTACTTTTGAATATTCTCTCTTTTACCATCCCATGTCTCCAGTTCCTCCCCAAAAAATGTATATTAACACTGGAAGCGCAGAACAGTTTTATTCTGCTAATATTTTGGTGCATTGTTATTGTTTCAGCATATTCAAGTTTGAAAATAGCTCTTCTAAACAATCAAATATCCCTCTGCTCAATCCTAAAAATATTTCCTCTCCTTGTTTCAAAATCTCCTGTCAGTTCCTTTGCGGAGGTATATCATAAGAGGTGAGAAAGACTCGACTGCTTCTCAAAATATTTATCACGATGCATATTTATCAACTTTGATGTTAAGGGGAAAGTTCCGTCACCATCATAAGGATTTTTTTTTGTTGTTGCTTGTAATAATTTTCGTTTTCTTTGTAAGAGAATAATACTAATACGGTCTTATTATTTTTTTAACCATTTGCAAAAATTTATAATGAAAATTGAATTTTCAATATTTCTTTTAGAATTTACATTATATTGGTTTCCAATTATTTTCAAATATTACCTCCAAGACCTAAAGAAGAATTCTCTGTGAAAAAAGTCATAATATGACCGTTTATAAGCTATTAGATTATTCACATAGAATTTTTAGCTATTTATTCGCAGCATATTTCATGTTAAACTTTAAAATTTAGTTTAAGATTAGACTGGTATCTAGCAATTAAAATGTACCATTTACAACACACCTGAAGGCCAATAAATAATTGATAATGCAGGCGAAAAAAAAGAGACGTAGAGCAATAACTAGGATCAAGCAAGAGTCCACCCTCTTTAGTTTTCTCGCTTGTGTTGCGGTTGCACTTTTGTGCTCTTACAGATATGTTTTAATTGCTTAATTTTGAATGTTGGACAACAGTCTTCCTAACGAAACCTGACCCAGACTAACTTAACTATAGACAACGTAAACGGAAGAATTTTCCTAATTTTTTTTGGTGAGAGAACTGATTACTTTTAAACAGTAGGAATACCGACAATTACTTAAGATAATAGGCTGGTTTCCCACCAAGGAAGGATGACCCAAAATAGGAAAAACTTACCATCAATGAATGACTGTCTTGCCAGATGTGTGTAGACGTCACATTACAAATAACATTCCGAACAGCAACGTCCCTACTCATTCACAGTATTAGTCATGATAAAAACCATAAATCTCTCCTGGATAGAGCACGGACTATGCAGGAGTGATTTATAATGGTAATAAAATTAGTGCATACTTGCCTCCCGGTTTTGCAATCCCTTGAAAGTGAAAAACTGAACGTAGTCTTTCTTAAGCTTAATTACTTCTTTACACACTAAACGTCCTGTCAATCATCTAATTATATCAATGAATAAAACAAAACAAATATCTGATATAACGCTTTTTCTGTGTACCAGGAACTTTTCTTTTTTTCTGTATACAAAATATTCTTGTTGTGATCGATCACTTTTCAACTATGTTCCCTCTCTCATCGACTTTCATCGCTCACACATAGTCCTGTATGTTTGTAATGTTCTCTCTAGTGTATATTCTCTGGATTATACCACTGGACTATGTCCTTTGTATACTTTCACAGAAAAAAAAACCATACCACGGACGGGGATAGAACCTGCGATCAGAGAGTCTCAAAACTCCAGACCGTCGCGTTAGCCACTGGACCAGCTAGCCACAATAAGATTCGTCCAACTAGGTATATTTCTACAATATAGGAAGGTTAGCATAGGCACCACTGTGACCACAAATGCAAGTTTTTACGGACGAATCTCCAGCTAGTGTGGCCGTGACGAACTCTAGCTCAAGTCCCCTCAAAGCCGTTAACATGACTCACGAAATCGTAATGACACGTGAGTCACGTTAACGGCTTTGAGGGGACTTGAACTAGAGTTCGTCACGGCCACGCTAGCTGGAGATTCGTCTGTAAAAACTTGCATTTGTGGTCACAGTGGTGCCTGTGCTAACCTTCCTATGGTGTAGAAATATACCTAGTTGGACGAATGTTATTGTGGCTAGCTGGTCCTGTGGCTAACGCGACGGTCTGGAGTTTTGAGACTCTCTGATCGCGGGTTCTATCCCCACCCGTGGTATGGTTTGTTTGCAATCGTTTCATTACGATTTCGTGAGTCATATACTTTCACAGTATGGTGTATATCCAGGCCATACTTTCACTGTATGGTGTATGTTCTGGCCGTATTTTCACTGTATGGTGTATGTTCAGGTCACACTTTCCACAAAGTTTCCCTTAATCGTGTGTGTTTTGTATTTATTTTCACTATATAGTGCATGTTTAGTATGGAGTAGACTAGTACATACTTTCACTGTATGTTATGCTTTTACCCTACAGTATAGTGTATATCCTGCAAAAACTTTTACTGTATGATTGGACATACTTTCACTGATGTGCTTTCTGTATATAAGTGAATTGAATATTATTTCTTCTCTACATTCACGTATATTCACTCATGTATGTCTCTACATAATTTCACTCATGTTTGTCTTCACATGCATTCACTCATGCATGCTTCCTCTTACTTTCACTTATGCGTGTCTTCACCTACTTTCACTATTGAATGTCTTATCCATGTCTTCACATGCATTAATGTATGTCTATACGTACTTTCACTCATGTATGTCTATACATACTTGCACTCATGTATGTTTTCACTTAATTTAGTATATGTTTACTTTAGAAATTATGAGAGTCTTAACTCTCAAAAGGTCAAATTTCACTTAAATTGAGAAAATCAGTCTGCTCACGTTCTGTCAAGAAGTTACAATATATTTTAAAAATTTACTAACAATCTGTTTTAAAGACCTCACTAAAATGAAGTCTAGACATTAATAAATAACTTAAAGACGTTGCTAGCAATATTTTTCAAGACATTAATAACAATATTTTTCAAGACATTAACAATATTTTTCATATTAATAACAATATTTTTCAAGACATTAACAATATTTTTCATGACATTAATAACAATATTTTTCAAGACATTAACAATATTTTTCATGACATTAATAACAATATTTTTCAAGACATTAACAATATTTTTCATGACATTAATAACAATATTTTTCAAGACATTAATAACAATATTTTTCAAGACGTTACTAAATATATTTTTCAAGACTATTAACAATTTTTTTGTTTTAAAAATATTATTAATAATTTTTGTCAAAATGTTTTTAACAATATTTCTGTTTAAAGAAGTTATTTACCATTTTTTTAAGAACTGGCAATTTTTTGAAGACGTTACTTATATTTTGATCAAGAAGTTATTAACAAAATCTGAAGACGTTTCTGTCTTTTGATGACGCTACTAACAACTATTTTCACGACGTTACTAAGAAGCATTTAGAAGTCGTAACTATGAACCTTGTCAAAACCTTATTAACAATCTTCTTTAAGACGTTATTTACAATCTTTTTCATAATGTTACTCATAATTTTTTTTCTCTTTTCTATAACGTAACTCAATTTTTTTCATCTTTTCTATAACGTTAGTTACATTTTTTCAAGACTTTATTACCAGTTTCATTACTATAATAAATTATCTCTGAAGAATGCACGTTTCCTATACTATTTTATTTACCACAGTTTCCACCAAATTTCACGTTATTATTGCACTGTTTTTTTTCAGTTTCAACTATATGTTGCAAAATTTAATTTCTTTATAAGCCTTACCATGTTGAGTCACTGATTCTCTACTAAAGTCAAGTTACTCTGTATTGTAATGCGTTATAACCTTATCACCATCACTCTATTACTGTCCAGATTCCGTCCCATTAATATCTAGTGCCACACTGTGGTCATACTTTTAACTTCCTTAATATTCACTTACATCCTATTAATACTAAATTTCTCTCCAAATCCATCTTGTTCCACTAAGTGGCATTCAATTTCACCTCATTAGCCTTTAAATTCAACCTAATTAATCCTGCCTAATCCAACTGGCACCTAATTTCAAATCAGATGCCATCTTCACCCCATTGAAACACACTTTCTTTATATTATTGATTTTTTTACGTAATTAATCCGTCCTTCAAAGAAAATATAATTTATTCACAACCTTTCATTTTCCCTGCACTGACAGACAAATCGATGGACTCGCGCCAACCTTCGCCCAGAAACCAGTCATCAAACAGGAGGAAGGAGGCAAACATATCAAGTTCGAATGTCGCATCCTGGCTGATCCCAAACCCGCCATCACTTGGTTCCGTGATGGACTCAAGGTGCAAGAGTCCGCACGGTGCAAGGTGAGTCTTGTAGTGTGTGCGTACTCACCTATTTGTACTCACTTATATGTGGTTGCAGGGGTTGATACATAGCCCCTGGCCCCGCCGTTTTACTGATCGCTACTGTGTGTGTGTGTTTGTTTAAGAGAAGAGAAAGAGAGGAAGGAGGAGAGGGGGGAAGGATGGAGGTGTGGAGAGTGGATACAAGAGAAGCAGACATAGTAAGAGATGGGAGGATGAAAGAGAAAGAGAAGGAGAATGGACCAGTTAAGAGGATAGGGATGTGGGACAACTGAGGAGGATGGAAGAGTTGTGAGGATAGAAAAGTTGTGAGGATGGCGGACGTGGAAGTGACTCCAGTAATGTAGAGGAGGTCAATGTGCTGTACTGATACTGGTGGTGCTCCTGAATGTGGTGGTGCTGCTGAGTGTGGTGGTGCTGCTGAGTGTGGTGGTGCTGCTGAGTGTGGTGGTGCTGCTGAATGTAGTGGTGCTGCTGAGTGTGGTGGTGCTGCTGAATGTGGTGGTGGTGCTGCTGTTAAGTGTATCGATGCATCTGAGTGTTCTGGTGTTGCTGAGTCTACTGGTGTTGCTGACTGTACTGGTGTTGCTGACTGTACTGGTGCTGCTGACTGTACTGGTGCTGCTGAGTGTTGATGATAATGATGAGTACGTGTGTGTGTGTGTCGTTGCAGGTGATGATCGAGAAGGACGAAAAATCCTACTTCGTGACCATGGCTCTCACTAACGTCACGGTGGAGGACGCAGGGAAGTACAAGGTCACCGCCAAGAACGAACTTGGAGAGAGCAATGCCACAATTAGCCTAAACTTCGACAGTGAGTATCGTCCCCAGAGATTGCCTCCTCCCACTTTTCCCCTTCTCTAGCAAGATATCCCTTCCTAAGTCCTTCCCTTCCTGTCCCTTCGACCTCTTGCCAGTACCCATGCCCCAACCAGCGACTTCCCAACTTTACCCAAATTCTCCAAGGACCCAACCAGGAGTGGGACTTTCATTTTTCCCTCTGTCGCACCTGATGTTTTGTCTGGCAATACATTCTACTCCTTCGGTCAGATCACTGGACATTTCTCGTTAATCAAAAATATTCTTATTTAGGCTCAATTTTTGTCAAACTTCTTCATCTATAAAGTAATTTCGCTTCTTTGTGCGAAGGAGACACCGAGTGCGCCTGCCAGGCAGCTCTGCCAGTTCTGTTACGTTACATACAGGACTATTACGACAGGCTTGTCAAAGAATTCTTTAAAAATTATGTATCACTGGCGTTCCTATGGAAGAATGGTCTTTATTTGACCTTCCAGGTGCTGCTACTTTCTTTTAGTTAATGTTTTAATTCATATTATTTCAGAGATCTGGACACGAACAGTGACCTCCTTCAAGGATAGTACTGACCTACGAATAGCGGTAGTGACCTAATCTGGCTCTTGTCTGACTGGAAATAAATAGTGATGACTCCAGGAGAGAAACAATGAATACTGATGAGAAGACCTTAAGAATGAGATGAACCATAATATTACTAATTAGAAATGACCTAAAAATTTGGCTAATGACGCAGTCAGGAAATGTGACGTAAATGGAAGAATACTGACCTTGATGAACAAACACCTGACAGAAGAACAAATAGTGACCCAAACAAACACTGACCTATAAAAAAATAATAATGAACCCTAAGAGAACGAACAGTGACCAACACTGATAACGCCGACGTCCATACAAGGGCCAATATATTTATCTAAAGGAATCCTTGCTGAGCTAAATTAACAAATTTTACCCCTGAGAATTCCTTTGAACCCACGTTAGTCTATGCTTGCTTAATAGTCGAATTCAGTTAGAAATAACCATGAGAATAGATACAAGGACGAAACTCAGAGAAGGCGACTCGAGGGGAGTTTTATTCCTTAAAATAATGCAATCCTGCAGATAAATGATTGCTTAAATTTCCATTATCCCTTAAAAATACATCGATATTAAAAAAAAAAAAACTTGGGATTCACAAAATGGATTTAATATTTAAAATCCATGAAAAAACGTTTGTTTAGGAATGTAAAAATATTAAAACTTATGCTTTTAACAGAGAGATTTTACAGTGATGGTTCAGATCACCTTCATAACGCTTAGTGATTCCTGGCTGCTCACTCCTAATCACCTACGTTGATTGAGAAAAATTTGTGACTCACACAAGACACAAGAAGTGTTCCCATCTCACTCTTCTGAACAGACCTGGATTTTTTATCATTTATTTAATAAATGTGATTACGATTCCTCATATAGATATATCAGCTGGGAAAATACCAACAAGCACAATTTATTAACTCGCAAAATGTATTCAGATATATTATATATATATTATATATATATATTGCTTGTAACGTTTTCACTGGAAAAATAGTAAATCCCGGATTACTGAATTCTCTAAAGATCGTCTTGCTTTAGCAGTTTTATAGCGGAACAATTAAAGACAATTATGTCATTCATTGAGTTTCCATTTTAATTTACAATTATAAGTGGGTCTGGATTTGTCAGAAGGTATTCAGAATTTCTTGCGGAGGTGCTGGAAAATACACTACGGGAAGCCAAGCTCTTTGTAAAATATTTTTGCAATGTATTACTGATGTCTTGAACGGGTAATTAACTTTTTTAGGATAATGTTTTGGATGTATGGCCATAAACACGCTACCTTGGCCAGATTTGGTTACTAAGCCAGCACCCTGGTCAGACATAAACCAAAGAGCCACTTCCCTGGCCAGATCTAGTACTTGACGACGCTACCCTCGCTATATTTTGGTCGTGAAGCCGCTACTCTGGCCAAATCTTGGTCATAAGCCGTTACTCTTGTCATATCTGGGTCATAAAGCCGTTACTCTGGCTAGCTCTGAGTCGTAAAGCCGTTACTCTGGCCGGATCTTGGAAATGAGGACGCTATCCTCATCAGACCTGGGCCATGAAGCCACTACTCTGACCAGATCTTGGTAGGGAAGACGCTATCTTCATTAGATAATGAATCCAATACACTGGAGCCAGAGGTTATTACAAGTGCTCTACCGGTTCTATCGGCTATAAACACATTGAGTGTTCACGTGTATATCAACAACTTATCGTGGCACAAGCGTTCTCCTCTCTTTTCGAATATGAAGCGATCCAGATATTCCAAGATATATATCATCGTACGAGTGGTAGACATGTTATCACAGGAGAGTTAGACATGTGATCGCAGGAGAAGTACACATGTCATCACAGGAGGTGTACCAGTCATCACAAGAGGGGTAGACATGTCATCGCAGGAAAATTACACATGTTATCACAAGAAGTGTAGACATATCATCGCAAGTGAGGTAAACATGTCATCACAGGTGAGGTATACATGTTATCGCCTGAGCAAGTACACACATGGAGTGGTGCTCAACCAGAGCGCCCTGACTCCCTTCACTTGAGTCTTGGGGATACTTTTGTCTTCTTGAGTCAATACTAATAACATACATGGATATAATTATGAGTAGGATCGTTTTAATGACCTCAAGATAACCTAAGAACTGTAGTTTCTCGTTGTTGTTCCTTATTTAATTGTTTCTATCTGTTTGATCATCCAAGAGATGAAGACCTTAACAAACGAAACTAAGCTTATAAAATAATTTAATTGGAATTGAAATTTTAAACATAAGAAGTTAGTACCTAGACAAATAGGACATTTAATCCCTAATGATCCTTAATACCCTCCCTCTCCCTCTCCTTGTTTTGATGTCTTTATTTTTCCCTAACAACTTAATATATAAATTTAGAAATACAAGACCCTGATATTGACGGTCAGTCTTATTATACCCTCAGAGTCTCAAGACTAGTGTGAGCAAGTGAACAGAAAGTTTCGTCCTTGTTTAAAGTGGTACGTTTTCAAGTGATGCTCACTGCTGTAAACATGAAATGAGGATCTATGAAAGACACAGAGTTAAGAAAACCAGTTGAAATATGTCTTTTTTTCGTTCAATGAAAATAAGAAAAATTATTCTATAAATGTCAACACTTACAGTCTAATTAATTACATGTTCATTTTTTCCAGTATAATATATCTTGTCCATAATTACTATGGCATTTGCTTTGTCTGTTTCGTAAGGTGAAGTCCAGGATCTTTCCTTAATTCATGGTATAACTTAACAAATCTCTGACAACTGTATTGCAGAGGTCTGAGCAAAGTTCGGACCTCTGCAACACAATTTACAAAGGCATAGTATATGGAGCTTTGTTCAGACCTCTGCAGCACAATGGTCCTCAAAGATTTGTTAAGTTATACCATGAATTAAGGAAAGATCCTGGACTTCACCTTACGAAACAGACAAAGCAAATGCCATAGTAATTATGGACAAGATATATTATACTGGAAAAATAAACATGTAATTAGAAGACTGGGAACTTACGTACCCCTTAACTCTGGGATCTGTGTTCAACTGGAGCTTCGGAGCTGAGCCCTGATGTCTCGCTGCACGGGTTCGAAATCTTTGTCGCACAGTAACTGTGGAGCCGAGCCTTGTTATCCGGGGTCGAATCCTGTCAGATGATAACACCTATGGTCACAAATATTCAATTTATGAGCATTTCTAATATATTCTAAAATACCACTTAGGTTAATGGAACTCCAAATTATCACGTTCTCTCTCCAGGTTTGGTATCAAAATAGCTAATGGATTACATGGATATTATTTTGATTAAATCTGATACACTTTAAAACTTAAACAATTTGACTTAAAACTTAAACACTTTGACTTAAACAATTTAAAAGTAGCATTACTATAAAATGTACTTATATGGTAAATTTATGGTCTAATCATAATTTACACTTAAAAAATTATAGGGGAAATATATTATCATTAATTTAGTTTAAAATGTGGAGAATGACCTGTGTAGAGGATTACTTAGCGTACAGAATTACCTGTATTGAGGATTACCTGTATTGAGGATTACCTGTATTGAGGATTACCTGTATTGAGGATTAATTACCTGTGTTTAAAATTACTGTGTTTTATGTTTGTGATTTCGTCTTGTCCTCGTCGAGTGAGTGTTATTATGGGTGTTCTGGTAGACTGAATGTGTTAAGGTCGAGTTTATATATGGAGTGTCCACTTTAGGGAACAAATGAAGCATGTATTCATGAGCTTCAGTTATGTTTCCGTAAGCGTGTTTGAATACCCTAGATTAGGCTTGAATATGAAATAGATCGCTTCGAAGAGGTTTGGCCGGGGGGTGTAGTAGTGACTTGTGTGTGTGTGTGTGTGGTGTGTGTGTGTGTGTGTGTGTGTGTGTGTGTGTGTGTAACAGTTGTGACCCCTGTCCTCCTCCCAGTGTCACATACCTTATCATAAACTGCCTAATTGCTCAAGTCAATAACCCTAACCACCACTAATTAAATGTTGATCGTCTGACTGGTCAAGACTTCTAGTTTCCTCGCCTCCCTCCCTAACATACTTGCTTAAATATATTAGCTAAAAGAATGCACACAATACCGCCTTAAATGGATGTACTAAAATATAACAATAAATGGTATACCATTCCCATCGTGGCACCCGCATCAGCAAACATATTAATACTGACAACTGACAGACAAGTATACTGGAAATATGCTGACCACCAGACTTATACTTGTTTATACTTCTAGTACAACTGTTATTCTTTTTTTTTTTTTTTTTTGGTATTTTTTGTTTACGCTTTTTTCTTTATTTTGTCACTTAGTTTCTTTAAATTTAATTTGATATTAATGAATTTTTTATGTTGCTACATTTAAATATCTCTTTTTCACTTATTTTTATGAAGCGTTAAATAAATTCAAAATTCGATAGATCACTGCTGCCTGTTTCCTGCGTCACTTGTTTATATAAGAATGTAAACAAGGAAAAAATTCTGAATAATTTATATATAACCAGTGAAGTTGATACCTGAATATTCACCATATACCCATTTTCATTCATTGTACCTAATAAAAACAGTTTAATTCTTTTTGCAACCAAATCATATCAGTTTTAATTAAAGTGTCAAGAAGTAAAATGTATTCTAAATTCGTAGGCCTGATCTTCCCATAAAATAATATTCGTTAATTCTATATTTCCAATAAACTCTCTAAGTAACTCTTTTTAAACTAAAAATATGATTGAGTGCACCGCCACCAGAGGCATAATATCAGGCCTTATATACTCGTGTATATATAGTCTGGAATGCGCACTAGGCGTCCCATGAATGGCACTTGGCCAAGGAGTTATATAATTGGTCCTAAAACTCTCAGTTTTTTAGTTACTTATATCCATTGGAATATGTACGATTTAAAGACAAATTTGATATTTTAAAACCGAGATAATGCCCATCTAGCATTCGGTTACAATTGTTTCATTTAAATTGCCACCAAAATATGTTAAAATGGGAGTCTTCTGCATTGAAAGAGGAATTAGCATATGAAATATTTTGCCAAATGCGTGTTTAGTCTGTGCACCTGTGGGCAGGACTCACATCTGTGAACTGTTGCCTTATCCTTATCTGCTTTCACAAATCCACTAGATGTAACATTATTATTATTATTACTATTATTATTATTATTAAATATTATTGGTATTATTTATTTTTTTCTTTGACGTATATACTAAATCCAGCCCGGGTCATACTCGTCTGGTTAATACATAACATCTGTTGCAGCTCAGGTTTAACATCTTCATTATTCGCCTCATTATCACTTTCCTTGTCCTTATTCTCTTTTTTTTTCTTTATTTTTTATACTGCTTTTATTATCCTAATTTTACTCTTGTTCCTTTTTTACTCTCTATTTTTCTATTTCATTTTCTCTTCACTACTTTATTCTTTTTCTTCGCTTTCCTGTCAATAAACTATAGGCCTTTCAACCATCTTCCCCACCCACCGTATCTTCATTCGCCTAAAACTCCCCCAGTATTTTTGTGCCCTCCCTGTACATAGCTTTCTTGTAGCTTTCGTGCAATCCTACAAGTCTCCTCCCTGTTCTCTTCTTATAAGAATTATCTCCGTTCTTTTTCTCATTTTTTTTCTTACTCTTCCTACCCTTTTCGTGTTTTACCTCCCTGTCTATCCTGGGCATCATCTTTCGGTCCCCATCATCTCATGCAGCACCATCACGCCGTGTAATTCCTTCGTGCTCCGTCTAACACTGGGTCTCCTCCCTCCCTGTGTGTGCGACGTCAGGTTCCTTTATGATGCTCACAGCCGACGAGGCGCCCCTGCCGTCCAAGGAAGGAGTGCGACCCACCTTCACTGAGCGACCCTGCATCAAGCAGAGTGAGGACGGCTCAAGCGTCATCTTCAGCTGCCGCTGTGTGGGCAGCCCGCAGCCCACAATCGTATGGTAAGTTACAATGACTAGATCTAACATTTAAATGTTGTAACGTCAGTACAGTGTTCCAGAGTAGAGTTAAAACTCTACTGGTACAACTTTTTAAATGGAATTATTCCAAAGTGAGTCTCGGAAATCGTGGATCTATAATATCTTGCTAGTCTTATACTTTATTTTCTTACAAAATATGATTATATGAATAACATTATTACCTAAAAAAATATATTGATTAATAAAGCATCGTATTTTATGGACACATCACTGCAGACTTTAATTAAAATGTGTTTCTACAATAAGTGTTTAAAATGTTCATAATAAGTAAGGCATATACACATTTCAAAACATTTATTGAGTAAATGTTTCTCAACAAATTATATCTTCAGTCCTAATACAGAGATATCTAGGAAACGGGTACATATAGGCGGGAGTCTAATGTCAAACTTCACAGTTTGCTACTACAGGTAGTAGTAGTAGTTAGAGTATAACTAAGGTGAGATGGGTCGGGTATGAGAAGAACCGGTCAGCAGTGGAGTAACATTAAAGTGCTTCTGGTGCAGACGTGACTCAGCTGGCTAAGACTCCGAAATGCTATGGAAACTGGATTTCTGTGGGATGGCGGCCTCTAAAAACTATCTACGACGTAGGTCATCTCCGAATTTCATGAGATGGCCGTACTTGCTTCTGCGATGTGCACAAGCATTTTTCTGGTCATCATGGTTACAGGCATGTTTTTACTCACATATTCTTATTTCAAGAGATCTTGCTCTCTCGCTCACATATTCTTAATTACGTCGCCCACAGGGTATGACAGACACCTGCACTGGTGGGTGTGTTGTCAATTTATCTGTTCCTAACTAAATCTCTGACAGTGGACGAGGAGTTGGGTAGCTATTTTAAACTGTCAGGGATACATTTGAAGTTGCGTTGTTAACAGGCAGAACGATAGATTTGGTTGGTGGTTCCTATGTAGTGCCGACTTTGTTCCTGTTGAAAATGAGTCCTGAACGTTCTCTGCAGTCAGCGTTGAAGTGAAGAGGGGAGTGCAGTAGTTTGAAAACTTGTGTAATGAAATCACATTCCTCTTCGAGGAATTGTGGGTTGCATATCCCATATGCCCTTAGAAAGAATCCTAACACGACATCTCTTTTAGTTCTAGTACCGTGATGGGAGTAATAATGAAACAAGTACAGTAGTTCTTTGAACTAGATTCTCTTTATACTATGCATAAGAGTCTATCATTGCCTGTGTAGAGTAGCACGTCTAGGAATGGCAACTGGTTGTCTTTCTCTTCTTCATGTGTGAATCTTATGGTCGACTCCAAGTTGTTGATGGTGCTGAGATACCTCTGCACGTCCAGCCTCCTGGGCGTAATAACAACAAAGTCATCAAGTAGGGCAGCGAGGTGACTGAGTTGGGGATAGCTGGGAAGATCACGTTTTCCTACTCACTCAACATGGGGATGACCAAGCAACTCCACATATTCAACATCTGGATGACTAAGCATCACCATACATACAGCATGGGTTCAAACCCCAACCGTTCGTGGTTTGTTTGCAATCGTGTTATTACGATTTCGTTAGTCAACACGTGGATGACCAGTCACCACCACACGTTCATCACGTGGATAACCAAGCACCACTATACAGTAAACAAGTGGAAGAATATGCCCCACTGCACATTAAATGAGAATGTGATACTGTAAACTCTTGGAGAGAGACTGAATGTAAATAAAACATTTACTTAACAATCTATTTTTATATTTAGCATAAGGCGACGTGTGATAGCCCAGATCTTAGTAAACATCGTCTTGGCACAACACCAGCTGACAGTTGTTGTCACACGATGACACAGTGACGCTCATAGCTGTGAATGACATTGACTCACGCTCACGACTATGAATGATACAGTGACGCTCGCAGCTGTGAATGACACAGTGACACTCATATACCTTACTCCAGACATGGAAGAACCTTGATGTACCTTATTCCAGATATAGAATGATCTTGATGTACCTTACTCCAGATATAGAATGACCTTGATATACCTTACTCCAGACCTGGGATGACCTTGATATACTTTTCTCGAAACATGGAATAACCTTGGTATACCTTACTCCAGACATGGAATGACCTTAACATACGGAACTTTAGACATGGAGTGACCATGATATACCTCACACCAGACATGGAATGATTCTGAAATACTTTATTCTGGACATGGAATGACATTGATATACCTTATTCTAAACTTGGAATGACGTTGACACACCTTACTCCAGACAAGGAATAACCTTTACATATCCAAGACATTGAATGACCTTGACATATGGAATGATCATCGTATACCTTCCTACAACCACGGTATATCTTGCCAAGACATGGAGTGGAAATAGCATACCTTCATCAGATGTGGACAAACATTAACGTGTCTTTCAATAGACATGGAATAGCCATATTACACCCAGCTACAGACATGGAATGGCCAATGAATATCATACCCCAGACATGCAGTGACCGTGGATTACCTTCCTGCAGACAAGAAATGATTCTGATATACCTCTCAATGAACATGGAATGACCACGGTATACCCTGTTCCGTACAGGGAATGACCTAGATAAGAATTATATTGATATTCCTTTTTTCAGATTTAGAACGATTATGGTATATCTTCTTACTGACATGAAATGACCATTGCTCCAGACATGGAATGACCATCGTCTACCATACCTTAGACATAGAATGACCATGGTCTACCATACCTTAGACATAGAATGACCATGGTCTACCATACCTTAGACATAGAATGACCATGGTCTACCATACCTTAGACATAGAATGACCATGGTCTACCATACCTTAGACATAGAATGACCATGGAATATCTTGTGTCAGAAATGGAATGATCATAGTATATTTTGCCTCAGACATGGAGTGACCTTGACATTCTCTGTCTCAGACATGAAAATAATATTAATAACTTACCTCAATTTAAGAAAAACAGATTTTAAATTGAAAATAATATTCCTCAGTAAAGTCAAAATTATTTTGATGCATTCACCAAACATTTCAAATGATTACGGCCCCTGGCTCGTCTATAACTTTTTGGCCTCCAAAACACATACGTCACTTTTCACCAGAAACCCACGGTACTGCGACTTCTGATTTTTTTTAATACGGCACCTTATTATTAATTAATACTTCTAACCAAAGTAAGATTCTGTCACAGATATACCTCGCAGTGACTATTTTTTTTCACTGACACAAATATCCCTTTTTTATTGATTAACAACACGACCGACTGCTAAAGCTCCTGTTTTTGTTTTTTCAGTTTTGAGGAATTAACTAAAGGTATAATTTCCTTGGGTTACAGGGAATTTAAGGGAAAGAAGCTGCGTGAAGGAGCACGACACAAGATGAAGATAGAGCCTGACGGCAAGGTGTATTTCTTCGTGTTGCTGGAGATTAGCAAGGTGTCCAACGCTGACGAAGGAGAGTACAAGGCCATCGCCACAAACAAACTGGGTGAAGGTGTCGCCACCATTAACCTGCATTTCGAAGGCAAAACAGCTTCAGACAAGCCAAAGTGAGTAACCTATAATTTCTACTGTTATCTATGCTAACAGAATACAATTCAATAATAAAATGTCAGGAGTTTATCATGTGGTTTAGACAATATTGTGTGGAATGATCAGATCCTGTACCAGTGTTGTCTTGGAACCTTGTTGTGAGCATAATTACTGTACCACAGGTACCTTAGTATGTTGTTATGAGCACAGTTGTTATACCACAGGTACCTTAGTATGTTGTTATGAGCACAGTTGTTATACCACAGGTACCTTAGTATGTTGTTATGAACACAGTTATTATACCACAGGTACCTTAGTATGTTGTTATGAGCACAGTTGTTATACCACAGGTACCTTAGTATGTTGTTATGAACACAGTTATTATACCACAGGTACCGTAGTATGTTGTTATGAACATAGTTACTATACACACTATATTCTTAGTAATGCTGCTATGAACATAGTTACTATACCACATGTACCTTAGTATGCTGCTATGAACATAGTTACTATACCACATGTACCTTAGTATGCTGCTATGAACATAGTTACTATACCACATGTACCTTAGTATGCTGCTATGAACATAGTTACTATACCACATGTACCTTAGTATGCTGCTATGAACATAGTTACTATACCACATGTACCTTAGTATGCTGCTATGAACATAGTTACTATACCACATGTACCTTAGTATGCTGCTATGAACATAGTTACTATACCACATGTACCTTAGTATGCTGCTATGAACATAGTTACTATACCACATGTACCTTAGTATGCTGCTATGAACATAGTTACTATACCACATGTACCTTAGTATGCTGCTATGAACATAGTTATTATACCACATGTACCTTAGTATGCTGCTATGAACATAGTTACTATACCACATGTACTTAGTATGCTGCTATGAACATAGTTACTATACCACATGTACCTTAGTATGCTGCTATGTACATAGTTACTATACCACATGTACCTTAGTATGTTGTTATGAACATAGTTACTATACCACATGTACCTTAGTATGCTGCTATGTACATAGTTACTATACCACAGCTACCTTAGTAGGTTATGAGCATAATTACTATACCACAGGTACCTTAGTATGTTATGAGCATAATTACTATACCACAGGTACCTTAGTATGTTGTTATGTACATAGTTACTATACCACAGGTACCTTAGTATGCTGTTATGAACATAGTTACTATACCACAGGTACCTTAGTATGTTATGAGCATAATTACTATACCACAAATACCTTAGTATGTTGTTATGATCATAATTATTATACCACAGGTACCTTAGTATGCTCTTAAGTCCCAAACATCATATTGACTTGACCATATTTGTACAATATTGAAAATCATTGATAAAATCCGCATCTTCATTTAATGTAGAATGCAAAATATTTTTGCATTTTATATTCAGTACTGAGCGGATATTCAGTAGCAGTCAAGAGAAATAATTTTCCCTACCCCTATTGAAGCGTCATTTCCACATTATTTGACCATTCTATATAAAAATATTCTGTATATCAGTCCTGTGCATTTATTTACGGCGAGCATAAACTAATTTTGCTTATTTAGAATTCCCGACGGCAAAGCTCCGAGGTTCCCTAAGAAGCCGGAAATCCGTCAAGAGGGCGACAAGCTGGTGATGGAGTGCGTGCTGGAAGCTAACCCGGAACCAGAGGTCACCTGGTTCAAGGGAAATGAGGTGAGAGTTCATCAGTGACACCTGGTTCATGAGTGTCACCTGGTTCATGAGTGTCACCTGGTTCATGAGTGTCACCTGGTTCATGAGTGTCACCTGGTTTCATGAGTGTCACCTGGTTCATGAGTGTCACCTGGTTCATGAGTGTCACCTGGTTCATGAGTGTCACCTGGTTCATGAGTGTCACCTGGTTCATGAGTGTCACATGGTTCATGAGTGTCACCTGGTTCATGAGTGTCACCTGGTTCATGAGTGTCACCTGGTTCATGAGTGTCACCTGGTTCATGAGTGTTCACCTGTTCATGAGTGTCACCTGGTTCATGAGTGTCACCTGGTTCATGAGTGTCACCTGACTCATGAGTTGTCACCTGGTTCATAGAGTGTCATCTGGTTCATGAGTGCCACCTGGTTCATGAGTGTCACCTGGTTCATGAGTGTCACCTGTTTCATGAGTGTCACCTGGTTCATGAGTGTCACCTGGTTCATGAGTGTCACGTGGTTCATGAGTGTCACCTGGTTCATGAGTGTCACCTGGTTCATGAGTGTCACCTGACTCATGAGTGTCACCTGGTTCATAGAGTGTCATCTGGTTCATGAGTGCCACCTGGTTCATGAGTGTCACCTGGTTCATGAGTGTCACCTGTTTCATGAGTGTTACCTGGTTCATGAGTGTCACCTGGTTCATGAGTGTCACCTGGTTCATGAGTGTCACCTGGTTCATGAGTGTCACCTGGTTCATGAGTGTCACCTGGTTCATGAGTGTCACTGGTTCATGAGTGTCACCTGGTTCATGAGTGTCACCTGGTTCATGAGTGTCACCTGGTTCATGAGTGTCACCTGGTTCATGAGTGTCACCTGGTTCATGAGTGTCACCTGGTTCATGAGTGTCACCTGGTTCATGAGTGTCACCTGGTTCATGAGTGTCACCTGGTTCATGAGTGTCACCTGGTTCATGAGTGTCACCTGGTTCATGAGTGTCACCTGGTTCATGAGTGTCACCTGGTTCATGAGTGTCACCTGGTTCATGAGTGTCACCTGGCTCATGAGTGTCACCTGGTTCATGAGTGTCACCTGGTTCATGAGTGTCAACTGGTTCATGAGTGTCACCTGGTTCATGAGTGTCACCTGGTTCATGAGTGTCACCTGGTTCATGAGTGTCAACTGGTTCATGAGTGTCACCTGGTTCATGAGTGTCACCTGGTTCATGAGTGTCACCTGGTTCATGAGTGTCACCTGGTTCATGAGTGTCACCTGGTTCATGAGTGTCACCTGGTTCATGAGTGTCACCTGGTTCATGAGTGTCACCTGGTTCATGAGTGTCACCTGGTTCATGAGTGTCACCTGGTTCATGAGTGTCACCTGGTTCATGAGTGTCACCTGGCTCATGAGTGTCACCTGGCTCATGAGTGTCGCCTGGTTCATGAGTGTCACCTGGTTCATGAGTGTCACCTGTTTCATGAGTGTCACCTGGTTCATGAGTGTCACCTGGTTCATGAGTGTCACCTGGTTCATGAGTGTCACCTGGTTCATGAGTGCCACCTGGTTCATGAGTGTCACCTGGTTCATGAGTGTCACCTGGTTCATGAGTGTCACTTGGTTCATGAGTGTCACTGGTTCATGAGTGTCACCTGGTTCATGAGTGTCACCTGGTTCATGAGTGTCACCTGGTTCATGAGTGTCACCTGGTTCATGAGTGTCACCTGGTTCATGAGTGTCACCTGGTTCATGAGTGTCACCTGGTTCATGAGTGTCACCTGGTTCATGAGTGTCACCTGGTTCATGAGTGTCACCTGGTTCATGAGTGTCACCTGGTACAATTTCTTGATTACTAAATGACTAGTTTCATTTAAAAAATAATTTTGGACGCTTCCTAAACTCAAACACAGAAGGTAACCTAAAATAATTTGGCCTTTACCTCATTAAAATAACTGTATCAATAAACTAACGTCAGTCTGTCTTAATTTCAATATGTAAAAGGTAACACTTGAAGTTGCCAAAGCTCGCCTCAAATCATAATTTTTACGAATATTATAAGTCTGGAGCACTGCCGTGGGTCTACTGGCTCTTGCTAGGTAGGCTTTAGTCTTACCCATCTATTCTCATTCATCTATCACCCCTATTTTCAGTCTACCTAAATTGTTTGCTTTGATGGGTTGAAATTCAGTTAGATATATTCATCTACAAATCTTTTGGTAAATTACTGCTTTTGTATCCTCTCTGATTATGAATATCATTAACGAGAATTTGTTTCTAGTTTTGTCTTGGTTAAATATCCTCAACATCATGTTGATATCCCCTTTGCCATATTCGGTAAGTTTTTCAGAGTAAGATTTCAATGGTTCATAAGGTTTAAAAGGTTCTATAATCCATCCCATTTTTGACCTTTATTAACTTAAAAATATTGATCAATAATGTAACCTTCATTCTGTTGTACCTGTAAATCTCTCTTTCTCCTCGCCCAATATATATTTAATATTTTTTTTCTATTGAGGGCAATGTTTTTTTGATCTGATTTTTCTACTGGGAATATTTATTATTTTTATTGTGTTTAATGTAGCTTATACAACACTCACATATCGAATTAGTAATACTCATTTCTATATATCAGATCATCATCGAAATTACTAGTGTGTATCCCTAGTCTACACTAGCAAGATGTTTGTTATATCCATTGTAGTTTACTAAGCGGCACACGGGACCCTAAATACGGTATCATGATTAGCGTATTAAAATAAGCTTATATTTTTTTCCTTAATTTCTTTCACTTCTCTTTAATCTCAAATTACTCCAGTTGTTATAATATCATTAATATCATTACAGTTTCAGTCGGGTTCTATTATTTGCCCTAAATCATTTTTACTTTCCCTTCTTTGGGTCAAACTTCATCTCACGTCTTCATTCTATAGCCAAATCATCTAAAACTTTGCAACTATTAATCTCTACAAAAAGTATAAAACAAATTATTCCATCTCCTAGTATTAATTACGCTTGTGGCGTTACTTGACAGATGGTTCAAGAACAGGGTCGAATATCTATATACAAGAAGATATGCGGGAAGGACCAGTACATCGTGTCGGTGACCATCATGAAACCCGAAGCGTCGGACGGAGGACAGTGGCGGTGCAACGCCTTCAATCCCTTCGGCGACTCTAATGCAAATATCGCCCTTAACTTCGAGAGTATGTTTTTTTCTGATATGGCCAATATGTCTCTAGCTCTTTCATCAATGAGTAATCTAGAAAAGTGGTATTTATTTATATATTAAATAATATTATTTATATAAATATAATATATATATATATATATATATATATTATATTATTATATAAATTTAAATATATTATATATAAAGGAGGGGTGTTAATGTTGCAGTTTAAAAACTGTAGTGTAAAGCACCTTCTGGCAAGACAGTGAGGAGTGAATGATGTGAATGTGTTTTTTTTTTTCGGGCCACCCTGCCTTGGTGGGAATCGGCCGGTGTGATAATATAAAAAAAATATATATATATATTATATATATATATATATATATATATATATATATATATATATATATATATAATATATATATATATATATATATATATATATATATATATATATATATATATATATATATATAATATATATATTAAACAATAATGATGAACTCAAACATTTAGACTATTCTAGATAAAGTACAAACAAGCTGTCCCAATTTTTCTTATACGAAGATAAACGTTAATATTCATAAACGAATTTCACTTTACTGATTAGCATAGAACGTTTCTTATTCAATTTATATTTATAAATCCTAATATATTATGAATTTGTAAAATTGAAATATGCAATGGACAAAATACAATAATGTTGGATAATAAAAGGTGTCTTCATGCAAGATTTCGCTGAAAGTAATACATTGGTTATGTATTTCAGAGGGTAAAGCCATTCCAGAGGGCTTCGCTCCCACCTTCCTCGACAAGCCTTCCATCATCCCCAACGAGTCTGGCACTATGATTACCATGAAGGTGAGTTGCTCTTGGAACTCCGTGAAGATCGGCGATGTCATGAGTGTTGGAGGGATCACAGTTATCACGAAGAAAAAATAGCATTCACTCTTATATGAACCTTTATCTATTCTTGAATCATGGTATGACGCTTAATTGTAAAAAGAACATAGTAAAGCAGAGAGTTAAAGCTAATCAATATAAATTTGTTTAAACACTACTTGTATATTCTGTCGCTGTTTTAAAAGTATATTTGAACATTGATGTACTTGCCTGGCATAGGGGATACAGTGAAATATATGTTCTTACTTCTGTGATAGCTCTTTTTCAATTGACATATATCAATGATTTCAGCGGTGATAAATATAAATTCACGATAGAAACGGTTTATTACAGGTACGGTGCAAGGCCAAGCCACAGCCAACAGTGGAGTGGTTCAAAGATGGTAACAAACTTGAGGCTGCTAAGCGTCTTGTTATTAAAGAACATAAAGTCACAGCCGAAATGTTCGAGTATTCTTGCATTGTTAAGGTAAGGTGGTACGAAGTCATTTCTCATTGTTATTCAGTTATTATTATACATTTAGCAGTACTAGCTACTGGATGGCAAATTCAGTTTGTAACTGACCGGATAGGCTGTTCCTTCAGTGGCCAATCTAATTTAGACTGAGTCATCACGTTTAAATAGTAGTGGGCACTCTAATACCTTTTGAGTCGTGAGGGATATAAAATATTGGTAAATCTATCGAATCTCAAGAGGTTTGGCCCTGAGTGGACAGAATTTCTGGTTCTAGTGAAAAATCAACTTTTTCTTTAGGGCGATTATTCCTTAATTAGCTTTACATGTAGTGTGATTTTGTAGGTGCTTGAGGTATTTTGACTAGAAAAGGAAAATAAAAAATGTTTTAAGAAATTTTCGTATAAGATTTTTTCAACCTTTAAATCCAAGGGAAATATATTTTTTGTAATCCCTTGTCTAATTAAATGCATGATGATTTCATATGCAACGAGGGGCAACCCTTTAAATATTTTCAGGGCTTTCATCACATTTTTTCTTTTTTGCAAAACTTTTGCAAAGTTATAATATAACCCTTAGAGAGTATCTGTTAAATCCAAGGGAAATATGTTTTTTTTTGTAATCCCTTGTCTAATTAACAGCATGACAATTTCATATGCAACAAGGGGCAACCCTTAAACATTTTCATCATAAATTTTTGGCAAAACTTTTGTAAAATTATAATTATAACCCATGGAGAGTATCGGGATGATGAACACTCTCGACTGCACCTAGAATTTTTATTCTAAACTTTAAAATGCATCCCAATAAGTAATTTCATGGCTTATTCTTAGTACAAAACGTATTTGTAATGTTTTCCTTCATGACTTTACAAAACTATTTTTTTCTATATAATACACCTATACACCGTGATATATTTACATACTAAACATATTCTTTATACAAATACGGTTTACCCTTGCTCTTACATTATATTCTCTACTTTATATCATGCTTTGGCCAGGGAGGTATAAATTTTAGGGTGAAGAAGAGCCGGATGTGAGTGTGGGGAGGTGCGTGAGACACTGGGGTGTGCGTGAGACACTTGGGTGTGAAGCAGCTGGAACAAATGGGTTCAAGAAAAAAATGTTAAAAGCAGGTGGGGATATAGTTTTGAAGTAGTTGATACTTTTGTTAAATAAATATATGAAACAGAAGAAGGTATATAGGGCCTGGGAGGGAGGAACAAAAGAGAGTGTAAAAATTATTGGGAAATAAACGTATACTTGGCAAAGTGTATGGTAGGGTTATTATTGACAGACTTAGATGTAAAGTGGAGAGAAGGATTGCAGATGAACAGGGAGGCTTTAGAATGAGTAGGGGATGTGTAGATAAGTGTTTGAATTGAATCATATAAGTAAAATATATTCATATTTATAGATGGGGTTGTAAAAGAAGTAAATGTTAGGGTGTTGGGGAGAGGGGTGGGATTAAATTATGTGGATTCACATACAAAATGGGGGTTGACATAGTTACTTTTTGCTGATGATACTGTGCTTTTGGGGGATTCTGAAGAGAAGTTGCAAAGGTTAGAGAACGAGTTTGGGTGGGTGTGTAAATGTAGAAAATTGAAAGTGAACATAGATAAGAGTAAAATGATGAGGGTATCAAACCATTTAGATAAAGAAAAATTGGATATCAGATTGGAGTGACATCTAAACTATCGTATCTGTGCGCCTCTGCAAAGACAGTGATTATGTGTGATAGTGACAGTGTTGCTTTTCTGGGTTACCCTTCCTCGGTGGAAGACGGCCAGCGTGTTGCAAAAAAGGAAATATATATATATATATATATATATATATATATATATATATATATATATATTATATATATATATATATATATATATATATATATATATATATATATAATTCCAAGCACGAAAGCGCTTGGAATTTCACTACTCTTTCACAGTGGTTGTTTTGCATATTTTAAAATCACCTGTTTACTGTGATCCTATTTCATATATATATAATATATATATATATATATATATATATATATATATATATATATATATATATATATTATATATATATATATATCACTGTCAAATCGTGTATTCACTCACGCCCATTGATGTCCAGAAAGTTTTAATATACTCCAGTAGATCAGCTTCAAGTGATGTATCATGGGGATGTTTTGAATGTTACACTGGTAAGAGATGCAGTCATCTTCTGGCTTCATGTCGCTTCCTGATACTCTTAATGACATGACAAAAAAAGCGAGTCACTAGAAGATTCGCCTTTCCTTTCCCCCCTCCTCTTCCACCTCTTTCCTGTCACCCTCACCTTAGAAATGCAATGAAAATTTTAAAACAGGCAATTTTTTATGCCAAATAAATTTTAGAAAAATTTGAGATGATTGTTGTATCAGTTCGGTGCAATAAAAAATATTAGCACAAAGAACTGGATGACTTTAATTCACTGCTTCCAGTAGGGAAGATGCAGCGAAATATCAGGTGGCCTACAAGATGTTGTGACTGGTGCACCAGTAAGCCAGCGTAAGCCTTGGTCATATAACCAAAAGCTTCATTTAAAGGGTAATTGTAAGACTAAGACCCATGTCAGGAAACATTTGTCTTGCTTCTTGATAAATAAAATGTCACGAAAATTCCTTCTGTTGAAGCTCTGTTTGTACAATGCCCATGATAAGCTCGCAAATGAGCTGAGTAATTATTGCCTATTAGACGAGATACTAGTTACAAGGCTCATTTTCCAGTACATCATTATTCAGGATAAAATAACCTGACCTCTCTCTTTTTGGTCGAATTCTTGTGACCAAGAGGATCATAACGATATGATGCTTTAGTTAAGTTGTACAATACTTTCCCAGTTACAAAAAAGGTAGAATCTCATTCAAGCTACACCAACTTCTTCCCTCACTCTTAGTCTTTCAGTGTTAGTCCGACTCAGTCTTTATCCCTGTGTATTTGTGTCCTCCCTGGCTCTCTGCTACTGAGCCTGCCGTTTTCCCTGGGCTGACGGTATTGCTGACTCAGGATCCGTGTGGTGCTGACGCTGGCAAATACAAGTGCGTGGCAATGAACCAATTTGGCGAAGCCACAGCCAACGTGAACCTAAACATCGAATCTGACCCGGAGCCGACGGGCCAGGCTCCAGTGTTCGTGGAGAAGCCCACTATCAAATTCGAGGAGAAGGCTGGGCGGGTGCTGATGGAGGCTCTGGTGCGTGCTGACCCAAAACCCACCTCCCGCTGGACCAAGGACGGTAAAGAACTCGACGGAGCTAGAGTAACTGCGACCGTCACCCGGGAGAAGGAGGACTTGTACCGCATCCGCATGGAGTTGCGGGTAATCTAGCAGCCTCCCAGCCTCTTACTACTGCAGCTCTGCCTCTCTTTGCTTGGATGATCACAAGGGTGGCGTGTGCTGTATATCCTTACCTTACTAGCCTAGCTCTGCTTCTTCTATTTTTACCTAACTTATGATTTCATAATTCTTTTCTATTTTTTCAGCAACAGTATACTCACGCAACACTAATACAACACAGGATATGCTCGGAAAAAGAAATTCTCGAATAGTTAGACAGTTAACACGGCGTTGTTAAGTGTTTAAGCTTCTTTCTACAGTGCCTGTCGAGATATTTCCATTTTCTCGAGTTTATCCCGACTGATGTGCTCGACGATTGGTCTAGCATAGCCAACTAAAACACTGTACCACTGAGACAATTAATCTTACAGCAGTGTCTTGTCTTCTAGTCACCTATACTATAGGCTAGACCTATAATTTCTAACCCACATTAACACGCATAAACAACTTATACTCTTTTTCCAGATAATACTTAAAAAATAGATACAGAAAAAATAAAAAAAGTATTATACTATATGTATTCCTCATATAAATGCTCTAAGTCATGAACCATACAGTTTAGTTAACTATATTCAATAATTCAAAGCTCCATTCCATCAACCTACTACAATGGAGACAACAATATACTTCAATAGCCTATCATTTGCTCGGGCAAATTCTTTATTTTCTCTCTGTGTAAGTTTGGTCCCGGCCTCTCACACCCACCAGTTGGAGATGACTGTATATTGCTCTTTACTCCAATGATGTCGCTGTATTTTTGCAGAAACCACAACCTACTGACGGCGGTGTGTACAAGTGTAACATCAAGAACGAGTTCGGGGAGCTTAATGCTAACCTCAACCTCAACATCGAAGGTACTTTAGTTTATGATTCTCATTTTTTGCATTCCATATACATTGCAAGGAAACAGACATAAAAAATAATGGAATAATAATAGCAATAGTAATAATAATAATAACATATGGTCAATATTAATTTTCTGGTCAATTATATTACACTGATTTTAGGGTAAATTTGTGGTGCTGATTCCGAATATGTCATCGGTTTTGCTTGACTGGCTCTAGTTTTTGATATATTTAGTATCCCATTGAAAAACATAAAATATGTGAAAAATATATTGATTACACAGGGCTAACTTACAAATCGCACCGAAATTATTTTTAGATCATGCAAAGTCAAATCATGTAATAATACTAGCACTTTATTCTATATACTAACAGATTAACATAGATAATTCAGATACCACTAATTTCCAAACGATGTACCATTTTCTTCTGTGTTGGTCATGAGCACAGTTTTATCGAGTGAGCAATTGGAAGAGATGCACACTGGTTGCCATTGCGCAATAAGACACATTTCAAGCTTCTAATGGAGCTGTCTATAAACAGCTGACAATCTCCTGGTCGATATTCGAGTCGCATTCGAAAAAGTCCGGGGATGTTATTGCAGTATACAAGAGAAAGGAGTTCACCCTCTGTTGCCCGATAAGCTGTTATTTTAAGATTTTGTTGTAGAAAGTTCTTTTATTTTAGTCTGGATGCTAGAGTCACATATCAGATCATTGCTGGGTTGTTGAAATGCTTACTACATATTCACTTCCACTATCACCTGTGTTACATCATAAACCCTGAAATTCTTCAACCTCTGACAACGGAAGGTCAGGCAGTGGTGTAAACACTGGTATGGGAACGTCATCACTGTGTGGCACAGGTGTTCCTTGCTGACTGCAAGTCAGGATATTCCCACTTGACTTTCTTGTATCGAGTGAAACCTTCCACATTCATCATACAGAATTAACAATCGTCTTCGTGATTTCTCGGCTCTTTCCACGTCATACGACACACCAAGTTTAAACTTTACTTTCCCTATTTTTCCACTGTGGTAAGCATTCTACACAGGTTTTGCGAACTACATGGGGAGTCCAAAACTTGTCTTGTTCAAGCGCCCTCCAAAATAAGCAAGATAAACTCGTTTTACAAAATCTATGATTTTTTCTTTGTTTTTACAAAGAATATTCGCTACAAATGTAGCAAAATACATTGGAATTATCTAAGCAGACTCTTTGTAAATAACTCATGTTTATCTGGAAAAAATAACAGTAAAAGTTACAATATTGTTAACATAATTGTTGTTGATACAACTTCTTTCTTTAAATATTAAATTATATAAAAATGAAATTCTAATCTTAATTATAACTATCTGTATATATATATATATATATATATATTATATATATATATATATATATATATATATATAATATATATATATATATATATATATATTAATATATATATATATATTATATATATATACTGTCATTACATATACATAGACACATATTATGGACCAAGTTCCCTGTTAATTGAGGATAGGAATCCAGTATCTTACAAACTACTGCCATTTTCGAATTCAACACCAAAATACCCAATATACCTTGAAATATCTTTTGCAATAAATTTTTGTTATTGTTACTAGATATGATTATTTATTATTTTTTAATTATTATTATATTATTATTATTATATTATTATTTTTTATTATTATAACAATAATAATAAAATATAATATATTATATAATAATAATAATAATAATAATTAATAATAATAGATTAATTATTTAACATCATTACCTTTAAGTTTTTTTTTTTTAATTTATAAGCTAAGGCATTTGTGTTATTTCAGCCTAAAATAAGTAAGCAAATATTTTTTAAAGCACACATGTTCAGATAATGAATCATACGATGACACTTGTGCTCCACATGTAACATATCTAAATATACATGTAAATACCTTGTGTAACTCACCTATTAATCTTCATATATCTTGCGTTTAGTGGCACCAACCATCAAGAGGCCGCCCAAGATCGTCTCGGTGTTCAACAAGAAGGTGGTGATTGAGTGCGTGATCATGTCCACCTCGAAGCCAGCTTGCAGCTGGTACAAGGATTCCACCAAAGTCCGACTCGACTCACGCCACTGCGTCAACATCAACGAGGTGAGAATTCAAGATTTAGGGAAAGTATCGTAGAGAGAGCGGGGGAGTAGAGAAAGCTTCCTACCAAAGGAGGAAAGCAAGATGGATGTAATATATACTGTAACATACAGAGTGGAAAATCATTATAAATGCGGTCTATGCTGTAGTTGTAAAGAGTGGAAAATAAATATGATCACCTGACATTGCAATATTGCTTTTATCCTTTAGCTTTCAATGAATCTTCATTTTCCTTAGTATAAAATTATGTATGGAGTTATAAGAACAATGTTATCTCACGCAGGAGGGAGAGGGCAAGTATGTTGTGCAGATGGAGATGATCAAGGCGGAGAAATTCGACTGTGGCTCATACAAGGTAGTTGCCAAGAACGAGAAGGGTGAGACTACCTCGCAAACTGTCGAGCTCACCCAGGCCATGCTAGAGGAGGTCAGTACTAGGCTCACAAAAACGTAAGAACGAAGGAAAACTGTAGTAGGACTACTAGCCTGTATTAGGCAGGTCTAACTCACACTTATGTACCATCCAACCTCTTTCCTCAGAAACTCTACCTGGAAGTTTGTTCCACCCACCTATAACTCTTTAGTCAAACCAGTACTTCCCTCTTTCTTTTCTAAATCTAAATCAATTCCTTTTTTTTTAAGATATTTTTAACATGCTGTTTACATCCCCTTTATTTATTCCTTTTTTCCATTTGTGCACTTCATATTTTTAATGATTTCCATAATAAAAAACTAATTACAGTTTTACCTGGTAACATAAACATTGTACTAAAAAGTAATATACAGAATGTAATTTATACGTTGAATGTTACAAGAAACTACGTTATTACTGATGAAAACTTGTTTAAGTTTAATATTTTCACTCACAAATTTTGTGAATTCAGTTATGTTAAGATCCCAACCAATGTAACTTGCAATATTTTAATTCCTAAAATTGTGGATTAAAATAAACTCGCAACATACAACACCCAGAGATACACCAGTCGATGTATATTACTGGTAACGTGAATTGATATTCTCCTGATATATAATGAACATTTCTCGGTGTTATGTCAGAACTTTACTTGTTTCAATTAATATCATACATATAAGTAATATATATATATATATATATATATATATATATATATATATATATATATATATATATATATATATATAAAATATATGATAAGAAAATTCTTAAAAATTGAGAAATTTCCATTTCTCTTTCAGTGAACGGAAGAGTAAAAAGGACTTCGGTTTCTCTATTTCTTTATAAGTTGTTTTCTGCTTGATATTTAATATTCACTGTTATTCGTCTGAATTTCATGTACTTGCATTTATAATTTAGTATTAACTTTATTGCATATATGTGTATTATACCAATATATTAATTGTAAATTATTATATTATGGTAAATTACATATTCTAAGAAATTAAACTTTTTGTAAAAATCGTTTAAAAACATGGAGAGCAACTGACGACGTATTATTCCATTTCTCGACTTATTGGAATGAACGAGAGAATGAGAAAAAGTGTAATTAGCCTGTTTCATGATGCTTTATTTTAATAATAATATAATAATAATAATTATGTTATATTTAACTAGTTCACTAGTTGATATTTACTAAATTTTTATTCATTGTAATAGTATCTTATAACTGTTCATTATTGAACTTTATTATTGATTTTGCATAGTTACATTTATATAAAATTATTAATTTAAATTATTATTATGATTAATTATAATATTATAGTATTACATCAGCTTGAAATCTTATCAATCCTCACTTCATTATATAAAATCACCTTATACTTTAACGCAAAAGCTTGACAGAAATTCTTTACCACTTAAGGTTCTAATACGGTTAGAGACATGTAGTTAAATTAGTTCCGTAAATTATAATGATGATCAGATAAAAATTGTATTAACAATAATAATAATAATAATAATAATATAATAATAATAATAATAATAATAATAATATTATTATTATTATTATTATTATTATTATTATTATTTTTATTATTATTATTACTAAAATTATTATTATTGTTAATACTATTTTATTATTATTATTATTGTTATTATTATTATTATTATTATTATTATTATTACCATTATTATTATTATTATTATTACCATTATTATTATTATTATTATTATTATTATTATTATTATTATTATATCAGCTTGATAATTCTTTCATATTTCACTTACATTATATCAAAGATTATTGTCACCTATAATATTTAAACCTGTCTTTAATTTCCAATGTGCAACAGGAAAATTCTGTTATCCCACAAAGGGTCTAATACAAGTGTTTTCAAGATACCTGAGTATGTTAACTCATCCCTACGTCTCTCCGCTCACTCCTAACTCTTGATCTAATGTGGGCACAGAAATAAATACGTGGTTTAGAGCGAACATGAAGAAGAATTGTGTAAAAACATTCTGTGTCTAGTTAAACTGACTGCTGAGAAACCATTTTTATTTTCCATACTGGCCTTAGAAAAATATAATAAGGCTTTTATGTTGTGATCCCAAGTGCAGTGAAAATATATTACATCTGCACTGTAATTGCTATCTGTGAATATTTATAATGGGAAAATATAAGCTTAGTTTAAAATATAAAATTTTCTCTCGCGGCCATGCAGCTTCTAGCCAAATAATGCAGTTCAGAGAATGCACAATAATTTTTCTTTTACTGTTCGCTGTGCTTAGGAGTTAGATTTTCCCTTTAGCGTTGCACATGAACATGAATGGATTGTATGTATCCCAAAACGTAACGTCAACACATGCCCAAAGTCTTACACTAATATGTTCAAATTAAGTACATGTGACCATTTATCAACTACTAATATAAACTCTCCATACTCCCAACAGTATAAATTCCATGTGCAGTTCTTAACAGTGTACAATACACATACAGGAAACATCAGAGGAAGAGGAGGAGGAGGAGGAGGAGGAGGAGGAAGTAGAGAGCGATGAGACAGTCGTTATGGAAGACGAAGTGAAGGAAGAAGAAGAAATCTATAGAAAGGTCGAGGAAGAGGAAGAAGAAACTGAAGAGACCGACGTGACAATGGAAGAGGAGGAGGAAGTCACTGAAGACGAAGAGACGAAGAAGAAGCCCAAGAAGAAAGATGAACCAAAGAAGGAAGAAGAAAAGAAAAAGGCTGAATCAAAAAAGAAGGAAGAAGAAAAGAAAAAGGAAGAACAAAAGAAGAAGGAGGAAGATAAGAAAAAAGATGAACCAAAAAAGAAGGAAGAAGAAAAGAAAAAGGAAGAACTAAAGAAGAAGGAGGAAGATAAGAAAAAAGATGAACCAAAAAAGAAGGAAGAAGAAAAGAAAAAAGAAGAACCAAAGAAAAAAGAAGATGAAAAGAAGAAGGAAGAGGTAAAGAAAAAAGAAGATAAAAAGGATGAACCAAAGAAAAAAGATGAACCAAAGAAAAAGGATGATGCAAAGAAGACAGAAGAAAAGAAACCCGAAGAAAAACAGGTGAAAGTAGACAAGAAAGAAGAGGAAAAGAAGAAAACAGAACCAGAGAAGAAGAAGGACGAAAAATCAGCGCCCAAAAAACCAGGATCTAAGCCTTCAGACGCCAGCGAGAGTGAGGGCCCCGCCGAGCCAGAGAAACAAGCAGCTCCCGCAAAACCTCGCCGAAAAGCGCCGCCGAAAAGTGAATCTGAAGTTACTGAAAGTGAGGGAGAAGAAATCATTCAAAAGAAAATGAAAAAATCCGTCACGAAGAAAACCACTACGAAGGAAGAGCCCACTGACAGCACCATGGATGAAGACACAATGACAGAGGGAGAGGACAGGGAACTGGACACCCGCCATCGAGTGAAGAAGACACACAAGGCTCCTAAGAAGGTGGGAAGAGGGAGACAATCAGAAGGAAAGACGAGTCTTAACAAAGAAAGCAGGAATTACGAGTGGTGCCTCTGCCTTGTGCTCTAACGACGTGTGGCGCGCTCATCAGTGCACAGGGCTCTCTCTCTCTCTGTCTTCCTGTGCAAGCTTCGCCAAACTTTGCCAAGCTTCGCCGAGCCTCATTGCAGTTCTTGAATTTCTCTCAGCCTCTCTTAATCGCCGTTATAATTACGATTTATTTACGTTTACTTATTATTTGCTACTTTAATGATGAAGACAACTTTAAACTAACTTCACCAAGAAGAATCGACTTTGTTGAGATTGTTCTCTCTCTCTCTCTTTCTTGCTTGCTGTTACCATTTGTCATACACCTGCGTCTTTGCAAAACTTCTTACAGCTCATATTCTATATAATTTTCTCACCACCTGAACTGAGCACATTCTATTCAACACTATAAATAACATTTTTCAGCTAGTACTTACACTCTTGATACTAATGACAAAACATGCAGCAGAAAAAAGCTTAAAATCCATCATAAATCCACATTGCACATATTTACAAATGTAATATTTTATTGCTGTGGTAAATATATACATATATTTAACTTATCTAATCACTGTTATTTTGCCTTATTAATGCTGTTGTTTCTTTTCAGGTAAGGAGTTAGAAGATCGGCATTTGGTAAAGTTGTTCGTTTCTTTACCTGATACCTCCATCACCTGTAATGTTATTGTTATTAGCCCTTATACGATACCCTGTTATAGCATGTGATCCGTGTCAAGTTATATATGATCCTGACGATGTTAGTAAATGTGCTCCTGTCAGGACATTTGAGATCTTAACCTTGTCATATATTACTCTATTATGGAAATGTATTTTTGTATAGCTTTTATAATGACACATCCAGTAAGTTCTTTTGTTAGTACTCTATGTTTTAGGTAATATAGAACACACATACTGTTGTCATAGTCAAAAGTGTTGAAAGATATTTACATTTAGCATGCCCTTATGTGGTAGTTTTGAATGTTAATATTTTTAGCTATAATGTATGTGAAATTAGTTGAATATTGTGACTGTTGTAATCATTTTCATAGCATCTAATGTCTTGTCTGTTTGTTAAAGTCTCTGGTGGTTTCTTGCAAGAGCACCTGTAAACTTTATAGAATAATCGGTCCTTATGTTTCCCCATTTAATGTAATGCTTGAGCCACCCCCCTCCCCTCCCACCTCTTCATTTGGTCTACAAAATAGCCTATGATCAATATCAGAATATACAATGATATGTCCAAGTGTCCACTGTATCTTCGTCACTTGGTCAGAGTTTTCAGACTTTCAAATGTAGTGAGGAACTTGACACGTGAACTACTTCTCACGCATTTGGGTTTAAACAGTTAATCATATTCATGCAGATTATTTTCTTGGCTTAATGTTAACAAATTTTCCACAAAATAACACCAATTGGTTATGCGAAACCTTCGTAAAATACTTTGTGAACTGGAATGCTTAGAGATCACCTGGAAGGTTATCTTTTTAACCATTATAGTAACGGGATAATTTTCCAATTAACAGTTACATTTTAGGAATATAAATCATCTCAGATTTTATAATGTCAAATGTAACTCTTGACCTGACTACAATGTTTGAAAACTCGAGACCAATGGGTAATAATGTATTATAACATCATTTATTTTGTAATTCATCAATATTTTTCCTTCCTCCTTTGTTTAGCACATAGAGGAAGAAGAGGAAGAAGAGGAAATAGTATCTGAGTCCGAGACTCTAATCTCTGAAACTGAAGAGGAGGAGATAATTACGAAGAAAGAAAAGAAGGAAGAGACAAAAATGAAGGAGGAGGAAAAGGAAAAAGAGCCCAAGAGAAAAGATTCAAAAGTCCGCAAAGAAGAAGAAATGGAGGAGGTCGAGCAGAAAAAGGATGAGCCAAAGAAGAAGCAGAAGACAAGTAAACAAGAGGAAACTGTAGAAACGGTTGAAGAAAAGAAGGAAACACCTAAGAAAAAGCAAGAGGAACTTAAAAAGAAAGTGTCAAAGGTAGAAGAAACTGTTGAGGTTAAAGAAGACAAAGAAGAACCAAAAATTAAACCGGGAGATTCTCAGAAGAAAGCAGATGAATCAAAAAAGAAACCCGAAGAAATCAAGAAAAAAGCCGAAGAACCTCAGAAAAAGCCCGAAGAAGCTCAAAAGAAACCAGAAGAAGCGCAAAAGAAACCAGAAGCTCAAAAGAAACCAGAAGAAGCGCAAAAGAAACCAGAAGCTCAAAAGAAACCAGAAGAAGCGCAAAAGAAACCAGAAGTTCAAAAGAAACCAGAAGAAGCGGAAAAGAAACCAGAAGCTCAAAAGAAACCAGAAGAACCTCAAAAGAAGCAAGAAGAGCCAAAAAAGAAACAAGTAGAACCTAAAAAGAAACCCTCTACAACTGAGGAAAAGAAGGAAGAAGTAGTGGAGAAAAAGAAAGAAGAGACTAAACCTGATACTAAACCAGCTGAAGAGACTCAGGCTAAAAGACAACAGCAAGAGGTAAAAAAGAAAGAGGAAGGTAAAAGGGCATCGAAGTCTGAAGGAAAGACTGATCCGGTAGAGTCCTTCTGGAAAGACGAACCAGAAGATGTACCGCAAAAGTTAAACCTGAAGAAGGAACCATCTCAGCCAGCTCCCGTTGTTTATGCTTCAGATTCTGAGTCAGACGAGGGAGAAGACTTAATGGCTTCTCTTCTATCAGAGTTTATTGGAAATAAAAAGAAAAAGCCAATAGAACTATCTTATAAACCACAACCGCGAAAAAGGCCTACAGAGAGACGCAAAGTTGAAGAACCACTGCCACTCAAGGAAGATTCGCCAGCACGTATGGAAGAAGCGAAAGACGAGCAGTCTGCTGCCTTCTCGGTTACGGTAAAAGATGAGCCCAAGAAAAAGAAATCATCAGTTGAGGAGGATGCGAGTGTGAAGACGCCACAGAAGAAGAAAGAACCCGAGGTAAGTGAAGAAGACATGTCACTCACCGTTACACCAAACGAGAAGACAAAGTCGCCGCCTCGCTCGCTTAGAAAACATGAACTTCTAACTTCTGTCATTAAAGAAACAGATGAAGAAGAGGAACCGCCATCACCCCCTCCTCCTGTTATTCCCCAACCTGAGAGCAAACCGAGATCAAAACCTAGGGTCAATACAGAAGATATGACCCCCATGGAACGTTACCTGTTTGATCTGTTTGGTGCACCAACTGAAGAGGAAGATACTCCGGTAGGCAATACCGTTACCAGATGGATGGATATCTTGCTCAGAGGTCTTTATGTCTCTTAAACTTTTTAAGATTTTTTTGCCATTTTAATTGAGTTTTTAAAAAGAAATGAATATCGTCTATATATTCATTTCTTGCCATATTTTGATGACTTTTTGTTAATGGCAACCCATAAAAGACCCTCTTGAGCTAGTGTCCACTCCTCGTCATTCGTGTGGTCTAGAAGTCGTTTCATCTCGCTCTATTCCTTGGTTCGCTGTATCCGAAGATCCTCCTGCCAGCTAACACATAAAATCTCAAGAGGAATTTTAAAACACCGAAGACCTAAAACGAAATGAAATCTAAAAAACGCCCATAAATAGAACGGTAGTCGGTTGCCTTTGCAACATAAATGACAAATGAACAAACAATTTTACAACCCTATAAAATATGTCTAAATTTTATTTTTTCTTTCAAACACAGGTTATGCTAATGATATAAGCAAAGCTTTATACTTTTTTTTTTAACTTCTTATGTGTAGAGTTGGCCATGTGTATGAGTTGCAGCTTTTGAGTCCTCATACGTACAAGCAAACTAACTTTTTATTTATCAAGTTGTGGTGGTAGGTAGATGTTGAAGGTTGTGTTTGAGTCTCTAACATCGTCTTGTGCATCTTTCTTATTCTACAGAAGGAGGAGGTCAAGGAGGAAAAGATGGAGCAACAGGTATTATTTCCTTTTAAGTTTGCTGCTTCACCTATCTTGGTGACAGTATTTTTCAAGTAGATTTGAAATAAATACTAGATTTTGTTTATATCACTTCAATACAGATATTAGTAGATTTTTGACACAATATTTTTCACATTTTATTGCCACAGTTACTTAAAATTCTTATTTGATTTTGGTTTTACACTTGATAAACCAACATAATTTATATAAAACATTTTTCAACAACTTTTAAACAATAAATTAATGCATGCTAAATACCAATATGAACATTATATAAATTATTTAACAATTATTTACATCACTTTAAGAAATATATTTTGTTTTTCTTTTATGTTCATCTTTCATTACTTTGTGTCTCACTATTCTTACTGTGCATGTTGACATTTCGCTATAAGTGACTAGTCTCATATTTCTCTCTGTTTTGTTGTCAAAGTTGTTTATGCCGTTCTTGTAAACATAAGTTTGAGAGATGTGACGTCACGCTCTCGTGTTTACTCTTTCGGTTCTCCTTCGTCCTTGGCTAGGCCTTGCTTATGAACGTGACGTCACATCGTTGAGACTGATATGTGTACGAAAACGGCATTGTTGTTGTTGTTGTTGCTTTGGTTTCGGAGGTACACGTGGTCAGTGTTTACACGTGCCCCGAAATACACGTGCTCATTGTTTATGTTCGTCTCCCTGTACTACTAAGGAGGCATCCCGGGTTGAAGAGTCGAAAATGGAAGAAGAGAAGGCGGCTAAGAAGGATAAACCCAAAAAGAGGGAAATTAAGAAAGAGGAACCTGCTGAGCCTGAAAAAGTTAAACTGAAAAAGGTTGTAGCTAAAAAGGAAGAACCCCAAGAAGATTTTTCAAAGATTAAGCTTAAAAAAGTCGCAGCTAAAGAAGAAGAGGTAGTTGACGAAGCTCAAAAAATTGAACTGAGAAAGGTTGGAGCTAAAGAGCAACAGGCCGTGGAAGAAGGTGAGAAAGTTAAGCTCAAGAAATTAGGAGTCAAAGAGGAACAGTCCATAGAAGAAGCTCAAAAAGTTCAACTCAAAAAAGTCGGAGCAAAAGAACAACAGGCCGTTGAAGAAGCTCAAAAAGTTCAACTCAAAAAAGTCGGAGCAAAAGAACAACAGGCCGTTGAAGAAGCTCAGAAAGTTCAGCTCAAAAAGGTCAAACCTAAAGAGGTAGAGGCCGTCGAAGATATTCAGAAAATAAAACTTAAAAAGGTTAAACCTAAAGAGGAAGAAGCTGTTGAAGAAGCTCAGAAAATCCAACTTAAAAAGGTTGGAGCTAAAGAACAGCAGGCCGTGGAAGAGGGTGAAAAGGTTAAGCTCAAAAAGGTTGGAGCTAGGAAGGAGGAGGCTGTTGAAGAAACCGAGAAAGTGCAGTTGAAAAAGGTTGAAACTAAAAAGTTAGAAGTGAAGAAGGAGGAAGCTATAAAGACAGAAATGGAGCCTCTCCAGGTTGGTGGGTTCAAGCTTGGCCATTTAACACAACACTCAAACCCGCACGAGTATACACTCGAGGAAGATGACAGTTCTTGTATCTTATAAATACATTCACTAACACAATTTAAGGCCTAAATTACAATAATCTTTCTTTAAGTGATAAATAACAAATCTATTTACTCGAATGATTAATAGCACAGAATATAATATAATTTCGGCTAAATAAAAGCAATGGAAATATTTCCATGGGAAATGTTTGAACCCATTATAAGCAAAAGTAAATTTTTGATATCACGTTTTTTTAAACATTTTTAATGCGCACAATTTCAGAATTGTTAAATAGAGTTATTTTTTGTTATATAATACGGGTGTAATTAATAGATACTTCTTCATAAAATGAGGCATTTTGCCCAGCTTTACTAATGTCATTTGCAAAGTAAATTTTCAAGAAGCTAAATTTAAACAAATTCGACAATGAGCTCAGGATAATTATCAAGCACTGTGAGCAGTGACAATATAATCTAACAGTAAATAATATAAAGGTACACACAGATACAAGGACTTGGTTTTTCCAAAGGTATAGCTGTGAGTTCTATTCACTAAATAATATATGTCGATGCTAGCCACTTTCCTGCAAGACTTTATTTATTTGCCTTCCCTTACGGATGCTTCAAAAACCTGCTTGTTACGGAGAGTCGCTGTACGTGCTAAAGGCTCAGCAGAAGTAAATTGCTAGGTATTTTGATATTTATATGAGTAACATAAAACAAGTTCCTTTCTAGTGAATAAATTAATCTGCATAAAGACGAGTTATTAATATGAAGGCGACTTATACTGCTGAGCTCTCTGGCAAATACATTTCGAGCAATTCCCTTCTATGTTGTCCGAGGCGTTTTCTCCTGGTCACTATGTGGCTGCCATGTCCACCTCTCCATCAGCAGGTTCTTCACGCCCGGGTGACCATCCTGGCGTGATTCTGCTCACCCGACCTACGTCACTTACAAACTAACATTACGCTACTTTCTTCTCTGGATGACGCGACGGTCATTGCAAAACAGATTCTTCTGATATAAGCCTAAGTTTAAATAAAAGGCTCAATACAGATGCTGTTGGTTATGTCAGTCACATACAAGGGCATGAATTTACATTTAAGTAGCACATGCCAAGCTTCCAGAAAGTTTATTCATGGAAAAACAAAATTTTATTGCGATTTTGTCACAGAACCTTCGTCCAGCTTAAGCTTGCATTATACAGATATGAAAGAACCAGTTGTTTTATTGGTTTTCTATTTAATTCGGTTGTCACCCTTTCCATGTTCCTACACCATAATATTGACTGTTCACTGTTCAGCACAAATAGCCGTTATCCATTGCCAATTTTACAATTAAATAGTTATAATACATTAATTTTAAGATTCTATCTATTATTAATCACAAACTCATGTAGGCCGATGCGATTTTTATTCTAGATATACAAAGAAATAAAGGCCTCTCTCTCATTTCCCTTGACTGTTATTATAGTCGAACATTGTACAGACCTCTCCTTCCGCTGTTGTGGTCGCCTGAATGAACACAAGTAAACGTTACACTTCTTTTTTTCTAGACAGTCCCTATCCAGCATCTATATCAATATCCCTTTACTCTTCATAGTCTCAGAACAGGAATACAGAAGCAATCGTTGCCTTGATAATTACATGAGAATATACAGAAACAAACCTCCCTTTGGCAATCACAAGAAAAAGGGACTACAGTCGTAACTTTTCCCAAAATAACTTAACAATAAAAATAAGACAGTCGGGTCATCCATCTTTGCACATTCGCTCGGCGGCTACTGTCTACTGACTTTTTAAATTTTATCGACTGATACTGGTCCTGGTCTCTACGTATTGTATTACTTTTAAAAGTAGGATATCCTTAATGTTGCAAATTAACTACGGTGACAGTCATTTCAATGTCACATTGATATATGCATTAAATCATACTAGAAGTGCTAGTACCAGTACAGCCAAACTGAATTTATGTTATGAAAATATTATGAGTACAAATTTTTTTCACACTCACAGCAACTTACATAACACTTCAAACTGGCTTTTTTAAATTTGAGTTATTAAGCATCATTTTTTTTTGCAAACGACCACTGGAGCCTTGAGACTGCACAATTAAGACCAAATTTCCCATTAACACGATTGGGAAAATTATCATTATTGTTGCTAGATTCTCAGTATCCATTGGTCGGAATTGTTTTTATTTTTATTTTTGGGGGGAATTAAAAATTCGTTTTACCTAAATGTAACAAATGAATGTTAACTGCCCATTGATAAACGTATTATATAATCACCCAATGCATGTGCATTACTGCTCTTATTTAAGAGATGAATTAAGGTATTACATATATTATTTATATTTAATGGAATTTAAAACAAAAATAGTTACTCTAAAGCCTTTTTTGTTTGTTATTGGCATAAAATATAATCTAAACAGCAAATATATTATTTGCTCAAAAACTGTTATATTTTAAAGCCTTTTATTTCATATATAAATTATATCCTTCACTCAAGGAAGGATATCTAAAAAATGTATAGTATTTACACACACATATAATGTATGTCATCCACAACAGGTAATTAGGCTAATATTAGGACAGGCAGTAATCAGTAAGATGTAGGATTGGCTTACGAACAGAGTGAATATAACATCAGGAAGCTATTAATACCTTTCACTACTTTTTTTCCCTACATAGGAGGAGGCTGAGGAAAAGGTAGGCAGAGCTGGGTCCATCTACGAGACAACACAGGGGTCTGATATTATAAACTGTGGGAAAAACAGGCATTGAGCTTTTGAACTGATAACATATAGCTATTGAAACTTGTGTCACTGAGTAAGATTCAGCGGGTTCTAGGCTGTTAAGGATTTGTGGTAATTGTCTATATGAAGGTTCATCTGGTTATACACAAGCTTTTGTGTAAATTAGCGATGTCTTTCTACACGTAACCTTTTATCTGTTAGGCCTTTCTTGTTGTAAGATCTTGTTACCGATGAAGTGATCCTTGTCCAAGGAACAAAAGCTACTTCCTCTTCCTTAGATCAAACTCGATGCCTCCCATTCCCGGGTGTTGTTTGACCCTTCCAGTTTTAACGCTTACCGAATATAATACAAGGTCTAGTTTTATGCAGGCTATTTTAAGATGCAAGCTCTACTGTTTTTTTTTTTTTTTTTTTTTTTTTTTGCTAGATTTTTGTTGACAATTTACTTACATTTGCACAGTAGAACACGACAGAAATACCAATGTGTATAGTTAATATAGAAAAGGTTGAATTTTAGACTCCTCAAATTTGTAATCATATAAAAAAATATATGTAAAAATATAAAGGATTTTGCGATCATAATTTGAGAGGAATAGTTACGAGAGCCATTTCTGTAAGTCTACAACGTTATTATTATACTTTTTACAGTTATTTAAAATGTTCGAAAAGCTGAGTGTGGCAAAGATCAGTGTCCCTGGTTAGGTACGACTGGCTGATCCGGAACTGGATTTGAAAAACTAGGATGAGTTTTGGTAGAGGAAGGTTGAGTGGTTGGAGAGGGGTAGAGTTAGGCATCAATAAATTCTGCCGAACATCCACGAAAGCCACAACTAAGCAAGCTCAAATTTACATTTACGATACTACAATGCTGGAATAACATTTTAAATATTAGCATTACAAATTCTAATAACGGGAGGCACTCAGATTCAATCCAGAGAAGGGGAAGGCAGGTACAATTCCTTGGATTAAGAGCCCATCACCCGCATACAGGAACCTTCCTTGAGAGGAACTGTATGATCAGGTTAGGCTGTTAGATTTACCACATGACTAGTAACCCGCTCAGAGAATCAGTTCTTGTTATTTATAACTTATTCGCGCTGATGTGTTATCAGTCAGGGGTTAATGCCCTAATCCTCTAGTAGATAGAAGTATTTTATAACGCTGATATTTAGCAACGTCGCTTCAGGATGATTTGATTCACTGACATGGAAAATTTATCATAATAAGATATGAAGACTTATTTTCTACACATACATAAACACTCATTCGAGCACATACACACACACACACACACACACACACACACCACACACACACACACACACACACACACACACAAACACACACACACACACACACACAACTGTAGTTCAGTAATTTAGAAAACTGAAGCGACGTATTTGTGGCAGTTTCACAACCGTAGAACTAATAATAGGTTAACATTTCAGAATGTGTTTATAATGGCTAGACTAGCTTAGAGATGAAACTGCCACACAGTTTTAACATAAAAAATAAGACGACTGAGGTGATAATATGTTTAACACAATAAATAACAAGATTGTGGTAATAATATTATGTCATAAGGAATATGTAGGGAATTCCCAACAAGCTGTATCACAACACACTCATCAGTGCCGTTAAGCAATGTTTATATGGGCTACACGCTCCATTACCCGATTTTCTGTCAGGACATATTTTGGTGCACTAGATTTAATGACGTCAAAGCGTGACTGCCGTTAGCTGGGTGACGAGCTTGGACAAATAGATTGTATGTTCTTCCATCGCGACAGCAATTCTCGTGAGCTCTTAAAGTCCGTTTGGTGCCGACCAACTACAGCAACAGACCTTCAGAGGAAAAATAATCAAGAAAATCTTTCTATTTTCCTTATGGTTTTGACTTCTAGGTATATACCTGAAAGAAACCCTACCCCTTCTACTGCATTTTCTACTTAGGATAATCATTGCGCTGGAGTATTCTGGGACGTTCACCATTTAAAGTAAGCAGCTACTGAAGTTTTCATTAATCATCTTTTCCTTTATTGATTTTTACACAATTTGCTCTCGTTAATAAAATCTGTTGCCCCCTTTTCCCCTCCCTTGCATTTATCCATAACAGACGCAGATTCTTCCCAAGAAACACGAAAATATTCTGTCAGATAACCAGAATCAGACACAAGAACCCACTTACTCTAAGGGAAGGTCAACGGACGT